GTACATTTACGGAGTTTACTCTAGAAGTCATTCTGAAGCGAGGAGCGCAATTTTCCAAAGGCCAAAAAAGTCCAATAGCATTGGTCAAGAGGGAAAATGTCTGAGGCGCCAAAGTTTTCGCGCTCATCAGGATCATTAGCAGATCCAGCAAATTGGCAGCATTATCTTTTCTCCATTTAAACCTAAGGACAAGTATCGATTCTTAGAGGGACCAGGTGCTCCGACAAGAATCGATTACTTAGCATAGGTTTAAATGGAGTGAATCCGGTGTTGCCAAATTGCTGGATCCGCCTGTGATCAGGATGGACAAAATCCTGGGAGCCCCGGTAATCTGGTCATCGAATTTAGTGTCATTTGCTCTTTTGCAACCGTTTGCAGATATGGCTGCAGAGCAAAATACGCTCCCAAATGAGAAGGAGTGCAGTGCAAAGCACGATTTTTCCTACCTTCTTCCTGGAGGATTTCCTCGGCGAAGTAAGCGCAGGCATCGCAGGCTGCTTTGACCTCGAGTCCCTCGATTGGTGCAACATCTATCATCACGGGTTCGACTCGCGGAGGGTGCTGCCGAAATGGTCGGCGACGGCGCGAATATAACGGCTTTCGAGTCTTAATCGACTTAACGCACTCCGAACAACGAAATCGTCTTTGACTTAAAGTCCCTCGTAATCACCATGATCTACGCAGTCCACGTCCGAAATAAATAGCTGCTTCACAAACTGTTTACGTAACTTCACACCTTACGTCTTCCTCTACGTTGGCACAACGGTTCATTTTGCGGAATGTGCGCCCAAATTTTCAAAATGTCACTTTAACTGTTCCACAGGTATACAAGTAAATTAATTACAACTTCCTTATTTTTCACGCTGCGGTTTGATCCTTGCACTCCCTGCATGTGCAAGTGCAAGTGTTACGCGAGATTCCGATCAACTGACAAACAAGGCAAAGATGGTAGAGTTCGATAAACATGATTGAAATGAGTTCTGGTCCTTTTTCGTGTTATTGCATCCGTAAAATGTTGCATAATAAGACTGGCGCGTTGGAAAAAGACTCGGCTTTCTGGCTGGATCCCAACTTTGCAGTAAGCAGGTTGCAATAATCAGCGCAAAGACTATGATTCATAAAAATAAGTTGTGAAGACACAGGTCAAAGTCTATCTACAAGGGCACCGACAAGACGCCACAGAGGGGAGCTACGTTAGGATAAGTTTTCAAGGATTTCAAAATTTCCTAACTTCTCCTTGAATTTTCAGGATTTATTTTCCTGACTTTTTGAGGGTGGAGAGCACTTTTTTGCTAGATTCCTCGATAATGAAAAGAAGAATAGGAAGAAGTAGAAAGAGAAGAAAAGGAGGAAGAGGAAGAGGCAGTATGCTGCTAAAAGACAATCTGTGTAAGCTCCAAATCAAGTTGAGGTTGAGAAACTAGCTAATTCAGCTTTCAACAATTGATACGCTTCCGTTTGGCGCTCCAACCTTTCATAATCAAACTTTCACATTTTTTAATGAATTTATTCGCAAATATATTCGAAGGTTTCGATGGCAACATATTTTACAAAAACAGAGTTTACTGGCAAACGAGTACTAGAGCTCAAGCGAGGAACTTACAGGAACAACGGCTGGATAGGTAACTATTACCACTTCTGACAAGGGGAGGCTACCGATTGTCCACCTCAGATCGGGTTCAAATTTGGCAGAGAGGTAGAATAGGTCAATATAAGAACCCGTATTTTTTTTTAGGTGCCAATGCCCAGCCGTTTTTGAGTTATGAATTTTTGAAGTTGCCGTTTTTTCGTGTCAGCGACGCGCTCAATTTGAGCCTACTGTGCGCGCACCTTTTAATGCGATCTGAATGACATCATGGTCATGAGCGACAGTTGTCCAAGCGGTAGCGCGCTCGCCTGCGGTGCTGCAGGTTCGGAGTTCGATACTTGTTACATACATTTAATTTTTAAATTGATTGAAATAAAATTGATTATTTTGTTTTTTAATCGCTTCATCACAAGAAATTGTAAGTCACCTTGTAGACGTTGTGATGCTAATTATGTTTTTTTTCCTTTATTGTCAAACACTCATTAAAAAAAAAATAAAATATAAAATATACATAAAAAATAATTAGAATCATAACGTCTACAAGGTGACTTACAATTTCTTGCGATGAAGCGATTAAAAAACAAAATAATCAATTTTAAAAATCAAGTGCATGGATCAAGTATCGAACTCCAAACCTGCAGCACCACTGGCGAGCGCGCTACCGCTTGGACAACTGTCTCTCATGACCATGATGTCATTCAGATCGCATTAAAAGGTGCGCGCACAGTAGGCTCAAATTGAGCGCGTCGCTGACACGAAAAAACGGCAACTTCAAAAATTCATAACTCAAAAACGGCTGGGCATTGGCACCTAAAAAAAAATACGGGTTCTTATATTGACCTATTCTACCTCTCTGCCAAATTTGAACCCGATCTGAGGTGGACAATCGGTAGCCTCCCCTTGTGAGTAGGTTTCTTGCCTATACTCTTAAATGAAGGCACTTTCCCTCAAGGCATGTTAACGACGAGTCTCCTCGTTTCCTTCTCTCATGAAAAAAAACACAGACATTGCCTTCTTTATTTCTTTCATTAATTGCAAGCGTTGCTCTAGCTTTCAAAGAGAATTGCTGAGCAATATTACCTTTGCCACTGGTAAAATTGGAGAGTGGTCAGATTCGCGCCAAAATTCTTTGGGTGTTGGCTCTATCGGGAGCTTTTTGCCGGGCATGCAGCCCATGCCCCATTAAGAACCCGGAAATGGAACGAGAATAAGCTGGAAGCTTTACGTTACTCCTAATGACCGGAGATGATATGCAGCGCGATATTTTACGTGGTTTTTTGGGACTTTTTTAATGGATGCAGTCCAATTTTGAAAGAACAGAAGACGGAAGAAACCGAAAAATCATTTTTAATTTCAGCAGTGTTTCGAGGTGTCTTAAACTCAAAGAGTGTAACTGTGCTGACACCAACTTTGAATGTACGAATTCAACAAAGGAAAAATTTCACAGAAATATACTTTAAAGTAGCGAGGGTGAAGTGACGGAAGGGGGTTTACGAGTATTTCTCTCAACTTTCAAGCCGGTTCTGCACGCATCACGCAGTTGACATTCTGGATTTGGCCCGCGCGCGCGCGGCGTGGCATGGCATTAAGACCTTGGGAGCGCAACAGAGCGGCACCTTATGTAATGATAATTACTTCAATTTTAAGTGCGTCTGCCTTGCAGTTCCTGGGTGGCTCATCCGGTAGATCACCGTCTGGTCTGGCAATATCTTTGTACGGTCAAAAATTTTTGTAGCAAGGGGGGGGGGGGGGCTACAATTTTTTTCTTAAAGATGACACCAGGATGGACCGGTCTCTCTGCGCCTCTCACAAAAATAGCAAGAAAAAAGTGATTTCTTCGGCGAAGGATCTTCGCGATGAAATGTTGTTCACTTTATTTTCAACTTTAGTTTTGTCAGGAAAAATGTTCCTTGAGCCTGAGTCATTGAGCTAATGTTGCTCCAATGACCTGTTACCCGGAATTTTTTTTTTTTTTTTTTTTTTTCGCCAGAGACGCAAGACGAGAGAAAAGTACATCCAAAGGCGTTAAACAATACTAGAGAGCTACGGGCTACGCATTCTGGCCTCTACGCGGCCCAGCCTCCGGAGTAAGCTTCGCACTCTCTAGGGATCGCTTCCTGGGCCTTACTTCAAATCTTTAAGGAATGCACATTCATTTAGAATTTTACACCTACTGATGACCGCAATAGTTATATAGTCGGCTAAGTTGATCTCTAGGGCGAACCATGGAGAAAAATGAAAATTTATGGGGTCATGAAGAGCTCATTTATACGATTTTCTGCGTTCCACACCGCACTAAGGCGCAAACTGGCGTAGTTATAGAACATAGAAAAGATTGTGTAAAAGCCCTTGCCCACGCACAAACTAAAGCTCACAAATAGATTCATTTGGTGCGGTAACAGTAGTCTCTCAAACTGGGCCGATTAATTTTGTGAGCATAACCGATGCTATCCGTGAGCTTTAGTTAGTGCGTGGGCACGAGCCTTAACGCCTTCCTTATGGGGCTGACGTAAACTGTTTCCCGGCGCAGCGTTAAGACGAACTGGAGTGAAATGCGAGCGGCTGCTTCTCAAAGGTGCCTGAGAGCCAAGTTCCTCTTCATTTGAATAAAAGCTCACGCATAAGACGCGTAAGGGCGCTTTTAATTCGATAAGTCTACTGTCGCGCTAAGGAAAAACGCCGTATGAACATTCGAGAGTTGCCAAATTTCCTCTTAGAGACTACTTATTTTTGAAGAAAGTTATGAATATTTTCCCTTGAAATTTTCAGAGTTTTTAGATCAAATTAAGAACAAAATTCTCTGAAAAGATCGGAAAAAAATATCAACAAATTGTCCCGAAAATTCATGATTTGTCGAAGGAGATTTGGCAATGGCTGATGGTTCATACGGCGTTCTTCCTTAGCACGGCAGTTTACGGCAAGTGCTCGCTTTGCCATATGCCATATCGAGGTAAACTGAATGGCTACTCCGATTGCACGTCACGCCGCATCACATTGGGCCGCGTCTCATTAAATCGATCCCGGACCCGTCAGTGTCACTAGTCATAATCCGCGATCAAAGTGGAGGTGATTGGATGCGACACCTCAGTATAGTAATCTGCGCTTTAATCGCAGTGGATGGGGGCATTCTTTCATTCACGAGAAATCCAACGAGCGAGATCTTCTGAGGCGATACCGAGAGGAATTTAAGCACTTTTGCTTTGGAAAAATTTCGCGAGAAACTCGATAGCGCCACTGGTTTTCTTTCGAATGAAAAAAAACCCTAATACTTGAATAAACCGCAATAGAGGGGATTACCCACTCTATTCTGGGAGTCCACGTCTAAATCCAGTCAAACTCTCCATGTACAGGTAAAGAGGGAACACATTAGTAGGGTTGTCTCGGAATCCCCACACAAAATAAAAAACACAAGAAATCGGGTGTCCAAGGCTAAAAACAAAACAAAAAAAGCCTGGGACGTTTCGGGATGATTTCAATTCAACCTCCTCCTCGACAAGGAAACGGAAAATATATAAAATTATAAAAATGGAGACCATTAGACCCTCATTCGATATAAAAAAAGTGGCACTCCTGCTAAGGCATCGTAACCAATAAGCATTTTGGTGCAAAATGTTAATTTAAGCGATTTCCTTGAAAGAGTAAAGAATAATCGAAAAGGTAAATTTTTTCACACATATTAAAAAAAAAAAAAAAAAAAAAAAAAAAAAAAAAAAAAACAGACGATTTTTAAAACTTTTCTCTTGTTTTAAAAATAAAGAAAACTCACACCAGAAAGAAGATAGAAATCACTAAATTTTTCTTTTCATTAATGTAACATTGAATTAGACAAGCACCGCACTGGATTACCCAAAAGAGCACTGACAACTCTGCAGTCTGCAGATCAAGGAATGTATTCTTCTAGGATACCTTCTATTCTTCTCGTCCTCCCATCTACGAACAGATCTTTGCTCTTACAGGAGAATGCGAGTGGCTGCTGACTTAAAAAGCACAGTCATCGCCATTGCTTGGCAGTTGCGACATTGCCGGGGTTCGCTACTGCAAATTGGCACGTAATAAGCCACACGAGCACGACTGTGCATACGCAGTGAATGCAGCAGAGTTGGTGAGCTGGTGCTCCCATAATCGAGTTCAGACTGAATTTTGATTCCTCTCACAGCGTTCATTGAATCAAAACGGGAACGTGATTTAAGAAAGTCTTGTTTGAAGTGCGCGGAAGCACGTGAGCACTGAGTTTGAAAACGATGGTGCTACTAGTATTCAAAACTTAACAAAAAATAAAGGAGAAAAGAGAGAGAAAAATACCCTTACGAGCCATCGAGAATACAACAAATTCCAAAAAACTGCGAGTTCCAGCAAAATTCTGCTAAAGCCAAAAGTACCCGCGATTGAAATCATGACCGAATCTTGCTTTCTGACTGCTCCAAAACTCCACGGTTTTTCTGTCCGTCAAAAATTGCCAAACAATTTGATGCGAAGCAAAAATTCTGTCATATCTTGATTTGTAATTTTAGCTTGTACGCTTTTTTTATACATTGTGACACGGTTTCTTTAATAAAAAATTCTCTGATTTTTCATGACCTCCGAGGTCTTAAAAATGAAATTCCCTGACTTTAGAATGTATTTGTTAAGAATACTTTTTTACGAATAGGTTCTTCACAAAGTATTTAGAGCAAAGTCTCTTGAAACTGTAACAATTCGAAATTCGGGAGCTTTAAAGCAGAAGCTCTGGTCATCATAATCGATAACGTGTGTAAGTGCGGTAGGAAATGATTGACTGTCTCGGCTGAGAGACATACTTTCAAGGTTCTGCGGCGAAATTCCCTGAATTTTGAAAATGGGGCAAAATTTCCTGACTTTTCAAGAGCTGGTCACCGTATCACCCTGTCAAAGACATTTCTCGTAAATGTTCAGTGATTTAATTTTGTGTATGATATCTGACGAGCTAGGGCATGCTTAAAGTTAAAGATTTTGGAAAAAGAGTCTTGGGTATGATATTGTCTTAACTGTGAATAATTTATCATAATGACAAAACTTTCGACTAGAAGCACGATAAACAAGTTATGGTAGAGTGATGTAGGGACATCGACTATTCGGTACGATACCTGACGTGCTATGGCATGTTTAAAGTTAGATAGATTTTGGAAAAACAGTTTCAGGTATAATTTTGTCTGAACTGTGAATAATTTACCGTAATATCAGAACTTTCGACTAAAAATACGATAAACAAGTTTTAGATGTAGAGTGATGGTGGGAACATGGGCTATTCGAAGCCCTGAGGGCCTTACATTGGACCAGCGATGCATTTTCGGGACAACCGCGTTCGGTGACCGCACTAATCTGATAGGCAGCCGGTTCTATCACCTACTGTCATTTGTTAACCTCGCTTTAATCCCGACAGAACCTGTAAGCACCTGTTATTTAACCTCCTGACACGTAGCTATGGCATTTTGAGCCCGAGCCGTAGCTGGTTTGGAATCAGCTCTCAGCACTATGAAGACACGACGAAATAATGCACAAAACCTACTGATGGATATTCGTCCTACAAATCCACCAGATAACGTGAATGTTTTAAGCTCAGGGATTCACATGGTGGATTTAAAGTTGGTCCCTTCAAACTCCCTCGCACCCGTTTCGAGAGATTTACATTGTATTCGGTTCGGACGATATCGAGCAGCACTTTTTCGAATATGCGTTAGTCTCGAGAATTTTTACGGAAACAGGGTGGTATGTACTTGATTCAATTAACGAATTTTCCATGCTAAAAAAATTATGTAGAACATTCCATTGTTAGATTACTTTTAAAGCATGGTTCCGACCTGAGGCGCCTTCATTTCTCGTGATACTCCACGCATTGCCTCAGAGTTAGTTTAGTTGCTTAACCCAACCGAACCCAAGTTGAAGCCTTATATTCGATTCGGACGATATCGAGCAGCACTTTTTCGAATATGCGTAGTCTCGAGAATTTTTACGGAAACAGGGTGGTATATACGTGATTAAACTAACGAATTTTCCATGCTAAAAAAATGATGTAGAACATTCCATTGTTAGATTACTTTTAAAGCATGGTTCCGACCTGAGGCGCCTTCATTTCTCGTGATACTTCACGCATTGCCTCGGAGTTAGTTTAGTTGCTTAACCCAACCGAACCCAAGTCGAAGCCGTGCAGTGACGTTCTCAATCCTCTTCTTGGGCATGGCATTAGCTCAGAGCGTCTTCTTTTTGATAGGACATTTTCTGGACGCATGAATTGTTCCTTGTAGTTGTGCGCAAAATTTACAGGATTTTTGACATGATAAACAAGTTTTCCGAGAATGATTCGATGGTTGATCGATTGATTCATAGTTGTTGAATCATAAAACATTTTCTCTACAAAACATCCGTGGGTGCAACATTACGCTGTAGTACAATAGGGGTTTGTAAACAAGATTTTGCCGAGAAGGACTTTTGAATAACTCTGAAAGTAGGTCCCGCGCGCGGGTACACGTCGCAAATTGAAAGACAAAGCTATCAGCTATTTACTCGAACTAGATATGGATCACTGATCAATAAAATCAAGGTGGAAGAAATCATGGGATGCACTATGCAGTAATACAGTGTGACTGACGTCATCCATTGGGTTTCTCAGCGGTGATATACGTTGAAAGTTGCCATTTCAACGAACTAATTCGAAGGATTCGATTACCAAAAAAACTATTCTATTCAACGGAAAACAAACGAACTCTTGATTGTGGTTAAACAGAGAAACCTCGAAATTGACACTACTTTGATTTGTTTTTGTTTTGAACTCCTTTATTTACTGATCAAGGAAGTTTTTCTTTCTTCCTTCCTCCCTTTCTTATTTAGTCGATATGATGTTGGGGAACAGTAACGTCGTAATTTCTAGATTTGAGTGGTAACATCGATTAAAAACGCACCAGGAGACAATCAAGAATAAAAAAAAGCCCATTTGTGATGACTCAAAAAAGCAAGCAGCAGAACCTTAGAACTTTATCTACAATGAAATTCACGGGCGGAAATGCACACCATATGATCGAGCACTATACATACATATAAGCACTTCTCAAGACACGACACTTGGGGCCCGTATCACCAACTCTGATCGAAACTTTTTGTAAAGCCAAAACTTGGAGGGAACGCTAATTGTAGGGGTTTAAGGGCTCGTATGAAAAATTTGGGATCCGAATATCCTTATCGATTTTGGCGCTAAAATTTAGCACAGACCTAGCAACAGTGATTTTCTGGGGGTGTCCTGGCGCCTGGCCCCCACTTTTTCAAGAGCGGCCTGGGTCTACTAAGGGCGAATGGGGTTTCGGGAGAGCTTTTCCTGGGAATTTTAAAAAGAAACTGCCCTATCTTAGATTGATTTTAAGACTATTACCGCGCAAAATTTGGCTGTACGCACAAGTAAGATCCAATTACACCAGTAATCCTTGAAAAAATCTCAAATTTTTGTTTGTATCGTATTCAATTATGCAACAAAATGTATCGGCTTAGCGGCTATTTTCCACTGTGAAGATTTTTTAGGAAGAAACATGAGCCAGATGATGCCGTTTCAATGGTTGTGGGTGGGCCCTTTCTTGCCCCCTGAAAGCTTTGCCTCACAAAGAGACGAACCATTTGGAGAGGCCGGACATGAAATGTTTCACTAAAACTTCTAATTTTGATGTTTAATCTGTCACAATTTCCATTACATGGTGAGGCTCCATGGGGCACATCTTTGGGGCACAAAATTTTACGGGAAAACCAATGGGACCATTTCCAAACTTCTGCATTTTGCACTAACAAAGATATGAGCTTCTGAAGTTTTAGCGTCATGTCCGACAACTCCGATGGGCTCGTTCCTCTGTGCGCCTATGCATTTTGGAAAGAGAATTAACCTCCGTTTAATATAGCCAGAGGTTAAATTCGTACCGATAGGTTGAACCAGGCCCTACGAGAGATCACTCACGGCACAATTTGATTCGATAACCGCACAACTTCGCGCCCGGCGAGGTTCCGCGAAATACGTTACACCAAGGGCCGACAAAGAGCTAACTCGCACACGTAACGCAATTCCAATACGATCGGCACTAAGTATTGTTTACACTTGGACGTAACGCGAAAACCACGTGACGCACACTTGGGAACGGACCGAGTTTTCCGGAAAATCTCGTATCGGGAGAACGCTCTCGTCGAGTGCAACGGGCGAGCGGGTTACCGGTTAGGCCCCGGGTGGTGTTGCAGCGAGATTGGTGGGAATACTGGAAAGACGCAGCGCACATTCGAGTGTTCGAGGCATTCCTCACCGGCTCGAGTTACGTAATCCACATTAACGGCTGTGCCTCCTACCACTGTCCGAGTGCTCGCGGCCCGCGGGCTACGGATCATTCTGGTTTCGGGATAGGATAGGCCAAGCCGGCCGGCTGGTCAGCCCCCCTAGCGCCCGGCCGGCCATGGCTTGGAAACCGCGCAACACCACCTAGGTCAATCGGGAAGTTGGCGGGAGTCGTTTTTTGCGCATGCCGAGGGAGCTGGGACCGAATTTTTGGGGCAAAAACAGGCCAAATTAACATGTGCCATGACCGCAGGTGGGTCTGGCACACAGGCTTGCCACATAATTTAGAAAATGAAATTCCCTGGTATTTCCCTGCCAAGATCTGGTGAAGTTCCCTGACAATTTATTGAAGATATGGCAGACGGTTAAAAAAGCTTAATTAAAATTGGCTTTCGGGAATTTGATGTTCGAAGCGTCAGACCCATTCTAGAGAGCAAATAAAGATGGCTGAACAATTTTTCCTTGATATTTTCATCATTTTCTTGACTATAAAATTTCCTGACATTCCCGGGCATTCCCTGACAGCGACAACCCTAGCCCATGCCGGATTCAAGAATTTGTTTACCTGGTTTAATATCAATAAATTTAGACTCTCTGGAAAGGGAGCACTGGAAAGAAAAATCTTGAGGTATTATTTTGACTTGAAGCGTCGTTTCTTGTCGACCGGATTTATTTTTAGTTAAATCCGTGCGGATTCAACTCAACATTAGTTTTTTTTTAGTTGAAAAAGCGTCGTTTAGTTTATCGTTCAGTTTGAGTAAAAAAAAACGATAACACAACAAAGTTTTTTTCACTGAAAACAACTGACTTGAGGTTCAATCCGCACGGATTTAACTAAAAAAAAATTTGATCGACAAGAAACGACGCTTTGAGTCAAAAACCTCAAAAGTACCTCAAAAGAAAAATTTTTCAGTGAGGTTTGAGGGGCACCCTATAATGCTAAAAAAGGACCCGCGGAAGGGCTCACGAATTTTTTTAAAAATGTGGCGTCCCGCAGGGCATTTTCAATATATTCAGTACTTTCTGCCCCCTTGTTTACTAAGCATGAAATGGGACATCGAGGAGGAAAATTCATAAGTCATTTCATTCATAAGGAAATTCATTCTCGTTGTCGTTTGCGGCAGTAATCCTTTTTACGTTCTCACGTTTTGACGGACGCATTTCGCAACTTGTCATAATTTTCTCTTCAAAGTTTCTGAAATAATATCCGTTGTGCATGCTACCAACGACTGAACCAACTACCTCATTAGAATAAATTATGTATCCAAGAAAATGCATACGCATTTAGAATAGAACTGCAAGACTCATGCTGCCAGAAATAAGGTAATGAGTATAGTACAAGACACGGCGCCAATGACGATATCTAATCCACTCGCTTTGGTAAAAAAGTTTCCCTGGTAAACTAAGATTTAATTTCCCAAGGAATGTTTATAATGTAACAAAAAATTGATTGGAACTTATTTCAAAATAACTCCGACTACGACAATATAGCCCGAGTCGATATCGGAAATCGAAAGACGAAACAATTTGACCAAAGAACTTGGTCCTCTATCCGTTAACTCGTCGTTATTTTAGTACAGGATACCGCAAAAGGGTGGTTTCACGATAACTGGAATAGTTTTGTTGCCGTAACAGACAACACATTTTTTGGTCATATTTCTAGAAATGATAATCACTTGATTTTTTCGTATTAATCTTCAAAGGGTTACGTATTATAACGCTTTCTAATGATTTATTGCTCTACTTCTCAATTAATATTATGTTTTCGAAAATGTGCTGTCTGTTACGTGATAAAAAGTCAACGTAATTGACAGCACATTTTCGGCCATTTATATATTAAAATTGAAAAGGGGAGCAATAAATCTTTGAAAAGCCTTATAACACGTAACCCTGTGTAGATTAATGCAAACAATTCGTGTGATTATCATTACTACTAAAAATATGACCAAAAAATGGTTTGTCTGTTACTTACGGCGACAAAGCTATTAAAGTTATCGTGAAACTATCCAAAAGCACTTCTTTATTTGGGCCATTTCGTGGCTTTAATCGTGTCCGTAGTTTAGCTTTTGGAAATTAACTTGCATTTTGTCGTCAAAAGAGCTTGGCGACGTGACGTATTGAGAAAGCAAGGACGAAATTGCGAGTAAACAAACTATGCTCACACAACTGAGAAAAAGTTGGGAGCATTGATGACAGAAGTTACATTCTCTTCGGCGTTAGTATTTCAGTGTACAGGGCACATTCCACACACCCCGAATTCCTAATGTCGGCGTGTCGTCGCGTCGTCTCGACACATATTGTAAAGCGACACTCCTTACGAAACTCGAAGAATTTACAGCGGACGGATCGCGTTCTAAGATTCCGGGAGGAAGTTCTCTCATTAAAAATGAATTTTTTTTGTCGCTTTCAGGGTTAAGGCCGCGATGGTGAGAGCTTCCCACTGTTCACCTACAACCGAAACTTAGCGGAGAATGAACCCACACACTCGAACAGTCTTGCCACTTTAACGCTGAAAAAGGTAGTAAAAAAATAATGCATGGGCGAATGAATGGGGATACGGATCCGTCATTGAAAAGAGTGCCGAGAGATTCGACTATACTGAGGATATGTAGAGCATTCAAGTAATAAGGGACAAATCTAGGAGGGAGGGGGTCGTGAATCTGCGTTACGGGAGGCGGCGTCAAATAGATATTTCTCGGAAAAATTTGAGAGTGCGAAAAGCGTTTTCTTCATACTTCATTTTTCAAATCATCGCATGAAATTTAATTGAAAAGCTGCTTCAGGCTCTCGAGACCTCCAGGCTACTAATTAAAAATTCGACGCATCAGTTCGAAATAAGGTCGCGTTCGCCCAAAAAAAAAGAGAGAAGAAAAGGAAAAGAAGCGAAAAGAAAAAAACGGAGGAAAGAAGAAGGAAGGATGCTTATATTTGGTGCTCATTCAGGACAAAATTGACTTAAACTGCATATTCGATGCTTTAAAATTTAGAGCATTACTTGGAAAGCCCACAGGGTCCCCCTTCCGCCCCCTCTCCTCGTTCGAAGTGTCTGGATTCACCTATGCGAATGAATATCTAGTGCTGGGCCCAGTATGTTTCTTTGCCTACCTCCCAAACTGAAGGCGAAGTATATAAAACGTGAGCTCAGCAGTTTCATTTTTCGCAGTGATCCCGTCACTATAATGCGACGTCTGACGCTATTCGCTCTGATTTCAAAGAGCAATATCTCTGTTCATAGTTCGGTAGAGCTTATTATTTTTGGGCAAATCTCTATCAAATTCCATTTAACGCTAAACGCTAACGCTTTAACGCTTCCAAAACGCTATTCTGTGACCGTCTCATGCGCACAGCTGGCTCCTTAGTCAATTGCATGATTGCTCCACTTTTTGATCAAAAGAGCCAAATCACTGGAGAACTAATCTCGGAATTTCAATTGTTCTGTGACTCATACTTTTTGACCGTCAAAATCAGCTGGAAGAGCATTGTAGGTCTTGTTTCCCTTTAAACATCTACAAAACCGATCGGAATTGAAACCGTCTCTATAGAATACTTGAATCAGTTGTGAATGTTGTGATAAGGTGAAAATGGGCATAATCCAGTGGAAACTACAATCGACAGTTTAGCTCGAGCCTCAGTACTGATTGATTCTGATTAGATTAGGAGCCTTTGCAAAGATGAGTAATCTAACAATAAAGTAATCAAACGTCTTAAAAATTCTCTGATATACTCGCAATAAAATACGCGCTCACCTAGAATAAAGACCAATGAAACTTCAGATAACACGCAATAATTTTCATCGTTTTATTAATTTCAAATGGATGTCTGGAGTCAAAAGAAAAAGAACCGGACAGGGAAAAATTGCGCGGCAAATTGAGCGTAATAATGGCAGCTGTTAGATCTTTAGAAGGAATCTAAAAGATAAGCACCCGCGAACCTGATCACGGGATTTTCCCACCTTGCCGAACTACTGCTGGCCGAATATGTATAAGTAATTAGAAACGTAATTCACAAACACCCACTTTCTAATTAGCAAACAAATCTAATGATCATAGTGAGTCTTCATTTCAAATTCCAGTCAATCGACTACTTACAAAATTTTAACACCACCGAAAGTGTTACACCATAATGATAGGATAATATTGGTGGGAATGAATGTCAACGTGTTTTTTTTTTCCAATTTTTTTTATCCATTTGTTGATCATCAATCGATACATGACTGACAGCGAGCTTTATTTCAGCGGTTACTAAAAATTAGACTTTCAATTTAAACTGAATAGTCTGTCGTTTCTTTATACAAAAACTGCAGATTTTAAACCGTAAAATTGCGGAAAAAATATATACTGGACAACGGTCTTCGATACTTTGCATACATACATACTTTTTCCGCAATTTTAAGATTCAAAGACTCCGTTTTTCATAAAAAGCTACGGCTGCATAACCAGTGCACACTGACAATCTAACTTAAGGAAGTGGCCGAGATCAATCGGATTACGTTTTGCAATAAGGAACCACTATCTCTGGCTCTTCCATAAAATCACCTCTCTGCATAGGGAGATCAATGGCACATATGTTGTTTCTAAAATGAGCCGGAAATATTGGTTCCTTGTTATAAAACGAGGTGCAACCGGACTACGCTGAAAAGAACTATGTGCATAGAGATTGCGTGCAACAATTTGGTGATCAGTTCTATTTCGCATAAATACACGTCTCACAGATAATCGAATTAGCTTTTCTAATTGATGGCGACAATTTGAAATACCAGAGTATGTACAAGAGTGAAGACAAAGCGTTTTATTTGTCTGTGTCAGTCGCTCTGGTAATGTGCTCTCTTCTGCTGCTCTGTAACTGTAAGGCAGTAACGACGCAACACACAGTGGATCGCGTTAATCAGAGAAGTCGGACAAAATTTGGAAACTT